GCTCACTATCCAATGATACAGGTTGAGAAAGATTCCTTAGGTGTTACAATGAAGACAAAAGAAGTGTGGACCGCTTTAGGATATTATATGTAGTGAGAAGGAAGAATTTACGTATAGAGATAATTAGAGGACTGAACAGCATATAAGACAATGCTACCCTAGGCTCTGTGCCACAGAAATTTATAGACAGAAGAGAGCAGAATGAAGTGGGAGGAGGAAAAGGTTTTGAACTGACCCTTAAAGAATCTTCAAAATTAATCTGAGAGGTAGAAGGAAGAGAGGGTTGTTAATACAACATAGGTATGGAAATTAAAATAAAATGTTTTGGGGAACAGAGAGTAAATCAGTTTGATTGGTACAGGGGCTGTGTTGAAAGCATAATAAGAGAGCTTAACCATACATTGAATTACGTTCAATTGAAGTGATTTGATTTGACTTGATACTCAGAGTCGAAGCTTTGAATATAATGCTAATTAGACTTGATCTCAAAGGGAACTTGGGTCAATTTCTGAGCAGATATGAGGGTTGTTCCATCCTAAATTGCTAAACACCTTGATTGCCTGGGTGAGCTTATTCCTATATGTTTTGGAGCCTGTGTGCATTTTGGCTTCAGACACAGATCAGCAAATGAGAGACTATTTGGGCTCCACCTCCAGCTTTTTACTTAAAGTCTTTGTTCCTCCCTTTAGGGCATTTGAAAACGTGCAGAAAAGCCTGAGTTCATGAGAGGACTCACTTTCTCACCTTCATTTTAACATTTCCTCAGACATAGTAATTCCTCCCATAACTCACATGCACTCAGTAAACGTATGTGGTTCCCACTTTAAGGCATTAAAGGTTAAGAAATATAGTCATGCCTTGTTTTATGATGGGGATACATTCTGAGAAATGCATCGTTAGGCTATTTCATCATTGTGTGAACATCGAGTGCACTTACACAAACTTAGATGCCTACTACACACCTGGACTGTATGGTATAGCCATTATAATCTTATGAGACCGCCATACGCATTGACCAAACATCGTTACACAGCACGTGACTTCTACTGATATCCAGTAGCACAGTGACCTAGAATTTATTAGGATATCACCTTAATAGCTTTAAAAATTAAGTAGTCCTATCAGATAGGAAATATATGTGTAAAAAAATTCAAGATTACATCAAGTTAGAAAAAAATCTACTTAAATTTCTTCAGAGCTAAAGAATATGAAATTCCATCAAGTGACATAACAGCCTGGGTGGGAGTTACAGATTTCCATGAGTAGGCAGAAAAGACAAGTAATTATAAGACTCCGAAGTGCACTCCTGTGCATAGAAAGGACACGACCTGTGTGGAGGGTTTGACATAAATAGGATTCAGGTGTATCATTGGGGTCGCTGTCAAGAATCCACTCAATATCTCTGACTGGTATCCACCAGCTGACTAGGTATTCCCCAACACTGCCTGCCATAAACAAAGTACCTCCTTAATAGCAAGCCTATTTCAACACAGAAAGACTTAGAATTAAGTACAGAAATGTTTAAGAGAATCAAAACCATAATATTAATATTTCATGTTAAGGAATTGTACATGTTTAGCATTTTAGGTATTTATAATTTTTTAATTTATTTTGTCCTTCAAATTAGTCTTGTAAGCCTAATTTTTATATGTGCAATTTAAAAATTTAAGCTTGTGTTTTTATGAAATCTCATAAGTTTATACACAGTATTGGAATATTTAAGAAAATTTGTTTCACCACATTTATTTACAAGTTTAATAAATTAACTTATTTGTAAGTTTTAATAAATTATCTTTAAGAATAACTTAAGAACTTGGGAAGATTTGTCAATCGAAATACTTAAGAAAGATATTAAAAATATTTAAGTCATAAAAACAATTTAACATTTTTAAAGGGAAATCTAATTATCTAAGTTTAATATTGTGTCCAAACACTAAAGTGTCCTTAAAATTGAGTGTTAAATTTGCTAGACTTAAAAAATAGAATAATCACATTTATAAATTAAACTTAAAGAAAAGATTAAATTTTTACTGCTTTAATTCAGAAACCCAATCACTGTATCCACTGCGTGTCTCTTGAAAGCAAGCTTAAAGGAAAAATCTCCCTTCACTGCCATTTATTTATTCAGCCAGTTAGCGCTGTGAGCGCACCGGCCATCCCTATATAGGATCCGAACCCGCGGCGGGAGCGCCGCTGTGCTCCCAGCGTCGCACTCTCCTGAGTGCGCCACGGGCTCGGCCCGAGGGATATTTTTTATATTATTTCATGCCTATCCTCTATTCTCTCATTTTTCTCTATCTGGAATTCACATTAGACAAAATATATAACTTCTGGATATATTCTCCATATGCATTTACTTTTCTTTCATATTTTTCATATACTGTTTCCTTGTATTTGGGGAGAATTCCTTACTTAGCTTTCATTTTCACTGCTTGAGTAGCATTCAGTGATTCCTACCCCACCTTAATGATACACATTCAAGATACAATCAATGAGCCTTGATTAATGGGCTCCTATAGTGACAAAATGATGAGCAAGAGTATTGCAATATGGTCATGATCCAGCCTCCCATTTCAGCAACAAGCTGGAAGTTAGTGTTACTGACAGGTCAGGCTCGGCTTGCCTTCTTGCCTTAAACAAATGACCTGAAAGTCCAAAAGTTGATGCAAGAATTGGAAGGTTTATTCAGATTACCAGTACTCAACTAAGTGTCTAACCAAGCAAACCAACAAAGAGAAAAGAGGAGCAGTGGGGTCCAGTTTAGCCTTGTTTTCAGCATAAAGAAGAAAAGTATCAACTAGATTCAAATCAGAAAAACAAAGCATAGCCAGGAGCCCTCCAGGGTGCACCTATACAGAAGTGGATACAATCCAACCAGACAGAAGAGGGCTCAGAAAATCAGAGAAAGGTAAAGAGAATAAAGCATTGCCTTGTCAGAATTTAGGCTGGGGACTCCAGGAGAGATCTACCAGCAGCAGAAACATGGGAGCAAAATAGTCCCAGTGGCCACTTGCCTCTTGCAGCTGGAGTACTCTCCGGTGCCCAAAGCTTTCTAGTTTTTGCCAGTGATTAAATTAGGCTCTGGGATTCCAAAGTCATAGAAATAAACAATGTACCCAAATAGTAAAGCAAGCAACGGCTTTATTAAAAGAGGAGACAGACTTATGCATAAGGGGGGTAGCAACAATAAGTCCAGCCCCTCGAGGGGAGCTGTTCAGGGTCTTTCACAGGGAAAGGAGTTAAGGGGTATAGACCAGTGTCACAGGAGGTGGTCCGTTCTGTTCTTTCTGGTTGCATCATGGGTGCATGCTCAGTAGGCAGTGGTGTTCATCATTGTCACCCCAGGGGGGTCATTGTAGCAGTCACCTTGATGCTTTGTGCACAGGTGGGAATTCCTAAAGGGGTCTTAAGGTTAGTCTGTAACTTTTACAATTATAGTAAACAAGCCTTGGCAAGGGGTTTTGCAACTCAGTAAATATCTGTTTCCTCTCTTATCTCAGTCTGTTTTGTCAGGGCAGCCCATGGGGTAATCATTTGCTCTGATGGGTCTCATGACTGAGGAGTGGAAAAGTAACAAAGTGTCCTCTGCAGGGAAAATGGAGTCAGTTTGGTTCACAGGCCCAGCCTTACTCTGTTTCATTAGTGCAATCAGAGGTTTCAGTTTCCCAAGCATAGGAGATTGGAGAATATTGCATCAACAGCTGAGGTTGATATTTCTTAATAATCAGCTCCCAATCCTCACTTTCAGATGTGTACAACTGCAGAGGTTTCCATCCACAGGGGTTTTTCTGCTTTATAAAATGTCCCTTAGTCCTTCCTACACCAACAATTGCACTAGAAATGATGCACTGACTTATTTACAGGGTGTCTTCATTTTGGTTATCGCAAATGAAGCATGGTATACCCATGAAGGAGGTTTGGCAACTGCTCAGGAATCGAGAGCCCAGGTTTTTGGAAGAGTTGAGCATGACATACAAATAAAAGTAAGGAAAGGAACTCCCATCCTCACCCTTTCTTTGATAAAGGCTTCTCCTTCAGAGCCAAAGGCTCCAGAAACATACAAGCACTACAATTTCAGATAATGATGGCCAGGGATAGGCAGAAGCGGCTGTTTTCCCTAGGGTGGTCAGAGAAGCCTCTTATTATTGCCTGAAATGATGTAACTTATTTGTTGACTCTGTAATTATCTGTTTTTCCCATGGAATGTAAGTTTGATGAGGATGTTCCTAGTTACTACACACTGCTTGCTTGGCACGTGGTGACTGCTTAATAAACATTTGTTGGATGAATGATTCCATTGGCACCCACAAGTTGGTAAGCATAACCTGAAACTAATTTTCCTCATCTCACATTGTAGAGTTGAAAATTTTTCTTTTTCTTTTTTTTTGTCTTTTTCGTGACTGGTAAGGGGATTGCAACCCTTGGCTTGGCGTCGTCCGCACCGCGCTCAACCAGTGAGCACACCGGCCATTCCCATATAGGATCCGAACCCGTGGCAGGAGCGTTGCTGCGCTCCCAGCCAGAGAGAAGGACACCGTGACTGCTAGAGACCTAGAAGCTTGTTAATGATAAAACCAGAATTAGAAACAAGATTTCTTCACTGTCCACTGGAGGCTACCTAGCCCACAGCCTACTAGGTAAGAGCTGTGACTTTTTACCCAAGTATCCCATAAAAGGCTTCTTCTTAATTTAACCCTTCAACTATTTTAACAGAGAGGATGGCAAGGTGGCCATGCTATATTGCGAGATGACTTTTTACTCTTAGAGTAACATCCAACTCTCCTTTCCCAGTTTCTCATGGCTTTGCAACCATGTGCCCTCTGATTATTCCTTTCATGTTCTCTGAAAGACCATACAACTCAGGAGGACTTCTAGCCTACTTTTCCCATGGGACAAGTCAGGTGCTACAGAGAGATGTCTAACAAAAAGAACTTGCTGTGTCATGTAGTTTCTTCTGCATGATGTAATGGTGGGGTTCAGTTAAATAACAAAAACAAACATTTGAGGTGCCTATACCAAGGTGCATGCATTCATTTATTTCTCATTCAGCAACAAGACAAACAAGTGTAATTCCATGTTTAACAAGTTACACATGGTAGCAAGCTCAGGAACCTTGAGCATACCTATAAGGCAAATAAAAAGTATTTTTAATAGTGTTGGCACCAAACTTTAGATGGCATGGGAAGAGTCATTTTAACCCCTGAATACCATGACATGCATTATGTGCAAAATGAACTTCTCACCTAAAATATCTCCAAAGCTAAAAATAAAACATTTAAATTCAAATACTTTAACAAAAATACAAACAGTATACTGAGAGCTGTCCTTAGCCAGTTGTTCTCCAAACAAAAGGTCAAGAAACATAACCATGAATAAAGACAATTCAAATCAGAAAAGGTTTATCAAGAAAGACTGGATTCCCATCAAAATCACATCTCTTCTTCTGATTCTTGTTCTCGTTCAGCATTTTTCAGGAGTCCAACTTCTGAGGGGCAGAACCTCTTAAATCTAAATTTAACCAACCTGAGGAGAAAGAAGAGCATCTCTTATTAGATGATCTTTCAAATAAAAACCTAGAGTAATATGCGTCTGTAATACAACAAACTCCAGATTATTTGTGCAAGTGGGGGAAGCAACCCAAAAAGGAAAATCACTTACTGGCTTTGGAACTACCTGAAAATTTTTGTGGATTAAAACAGGGTGTAAGTAAACAAATACAATGTGGCTTTTGGATGTATTACATCATTGTTTAATTTGGCATCAGAAGATAACTTTGATCTTTTCTAAAAGAAACAAGAGAATCTCTGGACTGTGGCAAAGCTCAGCTTTTCCATCAAAGCCTCACCTAGCTGTGTATTGCAAAAAGATGCTCTCTCCTGCAAAGGGAGTGCATAAAGCCCTCTCTTTCTCTGGGTTTGGCAGCCCAAGTCAAGCCCCATGCCAAGTCTGAAATAGAGTTTGGCCCCTACTTGCCCCTTAGGAGGGGTGTTTTTGTGCAAGACACAGGCTGCTCCACTGCATGTGATGGCCCTGTACATGACGCATTAATAAGTTCAAAGAAGTGCCCTCCACCCTGGAGCCTGTTTCCCTAGCTTAATAGAACCTGTAGGTTTGGAGGTAGCAGCAATAATAATTTTTGACACTGGAAGATGTGAAGCTTCTTAGTGGCAAAAGCTCAGTTGGCTCTCCCACTTCTCTGATGTGAGAAAAAGAGTCCGTAACAAGAATTAGGCAAAGCTTTTCCTGTGCATATTATCATAATGACATTTTACTGTTCCATATCAATAAAACATAGTTAACGTTCAGAAATACATAGGAATATGCAGACAAACTTGATAAAACCATCAAAATTATTCTCCTTTTATGAGAAACTTCACCAATGCACCTGCATTTTTACCCTTATTTTCAGCCTTATTCTTCTGATGAAGGTCTGGCCTGCCCCTATCAATATGTAATGCCTTTACTTGGGCTCTGGATCCCAAGAGAATATAAGCTTCGTAAGAACAGGGCCCTCATCTTATTTACTGCCCTAATCCCAACCAGAGTCTGGAATAATGTCTGGTACATAGTAGTGGCTCAACACACACTTGATAAATCAATGACCTTCAGAGCAATCTTCCAGGAGTTCATAACACTACTCATTCATAGAGGCGAATTCTTCAGTCACTTCCAACTCAGCATTAACTCCTCCCATGAACAACAACTGAACATTATCAGTAACATCTGTTGACTCAAAAAGCAAGGAAAACCACTCAAAATCATTTGCCTTGATTATTAATTGACTATTGATGTTTCTCCCATGAATTCTTCAGTCACTTCCAACTCAGCATTAACTCCTCCCATGAGCAACAACTGAACATTATCAGTAACATCTGTTGACTCAAAAGGCAAGGAAAACCACTCAAAATCATTTGCCTTGATTATTAATTGACTATTGATGTTTCTCCCAATGTCCTCAACCCTTCGAGCCACCGTTCTCATGGAAGGCTCATACTCTTAAACAAGTTACAGGCCAGGCAGTGTTTGTGTCATTTTTTAAAAACCATGTTATTTCCACATTGCACAACTTCAATCCATGCTAAATGAAATAGATTAATTTATTGATTAGTTTCGGTCCTGATGACTTTTGTGGAAAATAAAACAAAGAAATGGCTGTTTGTTAAAAATTAATTGTTAACATAGACCCTAGTGACTCCTCATGTTTCTCATTCCTCCTCTTAGATTGTGTCTGCTGCTGCTATGAGCCCACCAAGCTGAGATGTGTCCAGACACCTTCACCAGGCTCTATGTGCTACCCATAGCTCTAGGTATTTGCACATGCAGAAATGAACACCTGGGGCAGATTGAGAGATGGAGTAATAAAGAGAAAGTGTGAATAATTGATTATTACGGGAATGGCACAAATCCAACGAGCTGGGATTACCTATTACTGATTACTGGTATGTCTGCGTTTTGCTTCAATTAAAATGAGGAAGAGCAGAGCTGAGACAATGGGTATATGTCCAGAAAACTATCATATGCCTAGAATTTGGGCATCTCTATTTTGTTCTTCCAAATGGCTCACATGAATCATTGCTTGGAAAATCAACCTATAAATGGGCAATATTTCCCTACCCAAATTGGGGCTTTTGAAACAGTTTGTGCAACAGTGGTTTTTAAATGTGAGATTCAGTAAAACACATAATAAGTATTTCCAAAAAGACAGATCCCACCTAAGAGCTATCATAATCAAGATCACAGTCGTGACATTGAATGAGGCAATCTTTGAACCATTACTCCGGGAAGCTGGGAAGTACAGCTTCCTTTTTCAGAGATTTGGAGGTTGGTTGTTCTATAAACCAGTTGTGTTTCCATGGTGACCTTTGGGTTATGTCAAAGACATTCTGATACAATGTTCTGACAATCTATCACTTGTGTATGAATTACAAACCACTCCATAGTCAGACTCTGATCAACAAATTTTCAAGGCTCATGATTGCAGGATTGAATGTGACCTCACTGCAAGGTAGTACTAAATCTGCATGATATATTTTAAGCTATTGCTTAAGTTTATACCAAAATATGTCAGAAAATTTAACTCTTGGTTTTATCTTTCTAAGAGCAATATGAGAGCAAAATTGAAAAACATATAAATTTCAAAAAAAGCATATGATTTTTAAACAAATGAAGCCTATATTTAAGAAGCTCTAAAACATAGATTAAAAGAGCAAATGTTTATAGAGCACCTACTATATGACGGCATTCCAAAAGTTTCGTGGAAAAATGAAATTAAAAGTTAATAATTCATGAACTTTTTGAAGACCCTTCTTATGTTTGGCAGTATACCAATAGGTGTGGGAAATATCCAAAGGGTCTTTTTCTCGAGGGGATACAAGCTAGCTGGCAGATAAGATTAACACATATGAGCTAATAGTCAACATCACAAGAGAGATCACAACTGTTAAAATGTATGGTGGAGACTAAAGTGTTGTAAAAACTCATGAAAGGAGATGAGCAAGGGCCACAGTCATCACAGAAGTTTTCAGAAGGGTCAAAGTCACCATATCATAGAAAAGATGTGCATTTAATGTGGATATAACAGGGAAAACTGCATGGTCAAAAAGATTAGAATAACAGGTGGCAGGTTGGGTGGAGGGAGGGGCAGAGGTTGAAACGTAAAAATTGTTTCCAGTTTCTCGAAGACCATAAGTGGATGAGAGGTTCATTAGGGGTCTGAAGGTTTTTGAAACAGGAAGAGACCATAGTCTTCTTTTGGCTTTGGAGGAGAGCTGACATGAGGTAGAGGGTCTCCTTGAATGCTGGCACTGTTCTTGGAGGCTGCCCAGCCCCTAAGGAGATGAGGCCCAGATGTCAGCCTAGAACAGGGGAAGAAGCCAAGTTTCACTCAGTGGCAGAGCCAGACTGAACAATGAGCTTATGCACATGCTTTGGGGTAATGAAATAGAACCAACAGAGAGCAATCAATGAGAAGGTGGAATTTCCCAGCACCCAAAGCACTTATACCTCTAGAAGGAGGAAACTACAGAGCAAAGTGCACTGACCTGGAGCCTAACGGAGACACCTGGAAGCTAGACAAGGGAATCGTTTCTTCACTCAGAGCCCAAGCACCACAGCTGCTTCAGCAGTGAAGCACAAAGAAGCACAGAGCAGGAGGGGTAGCCTGGGGCCCACGTCCAGAGAGAAGAGTGGAAAGCTGATTCCAGCAGATGCTGAAACTCCACTGGGCCTAGAAGCAGCTATTGCATTTTAGGAATCTGGAGAACCCGCTAGCTGTGCAGTGCCCAATATGGTAGCCACTATCCATATATGGATATTTAAATTAATTAAAATTAATGTGGCGCTAACCACATTTCAAGTGCTCAGTAGCTAGTGGCTACCACACTCAACACTGTAGATATAGAACACTGCAGATATAGAACATTCTGTTCAGTGCTGAAGTCTGAAGGATTAGGTGCTGGGGCCTTCATGCCTGATAATGGGGACCAGCCAAGACAATTGTGGTTTGGCATTACCTATCTTAGAGAGAGCAACAGTGATCACCCCTTCCTATTTCTGCTCATCCTTCAAGCTACAGCTTAATTCTCAATTGTGGGGAGGTCTTCCTGAGCTCCAATAGCACTATGTTCTTTCACTATTTCCATTTATTGCACTATATTTTAACTGTCTATCTCTCTAATTTAGTCCCAGTAATAGGACTAAAAATTCTTCATTGGCAGTGTCTATACACCATGCATTTTTTGCTACCAAAAAGTAAGGAGAAGGAAGAAGAGGAGGAGGAGAACAAAAACAAGAACAAGAATAAGAAGATAATAACATTTATTGAGCCCTTATTATGTCCTAAGCAGTTTAAATAAACGATCCCATTTAGGTACTATTATCCCCACTTTGAAAACAACAAAACTGAGACAATGTGGTTAAGTAATTGGCCTGGGGTCATAGAGCTGATAAGCAGCAAAGCTATGAATATGTGATCTTATTAAGTAGTTATATTGCTCCTCACCCCGTCATGAGACACTGTATCAGGATCCTTGCTTAAAAGAAAAAAAACATATCATTCAACTGAATCTTACTTTTAGCAATATTAGACTCAATGTCCTATTAACCAGGCATTCAAATTTAATAGGACACGTACAGATTGGTCAAAATGAGTCTAATCTTCAGTGCTTTAATTGAAGTATGTACATGTGGGTAAATGGAGAACTCACTGCAGGCAGTGAGTGGGCAGACTATTCAGAAGAGAATAAAGCATATACGAAGACAGAGAGGAAAGGAAGAGTGTGCTGAAAGGTGATGCATGGGTTAGAGGCAAGCAGAGACACTGTTGAGCTATCCCAACTTTAAACCAGTGTTTATTCTTTTCACTGGAAAATTCTGTGTTTGCAGATAATTTTCTGCCATGCTCCCCTGTCTTATGTGATAATAAGGAATAAAATCCCCTTTTGAAGTTTAAGTTCAATGCTATCAAAACTTGATGATCATATACTGAGTATTAGAGCTTCTGTGAACAAAAATTACTAACTTACCAGGTGACAAAACCATAATTTGCTCCAATGATGACAAAGGTCAATGCATAATGCCAACAAAAGCACATGGCAAGAAACAAAATGTTGTCGTGATCCATCAGATCCCATGCAGGACCTCCGCTGGGAGGATACAGGACAAAACCAATCTGTAATTTAAAACAAAAAGCACATATTAAAATAGCCAGCCACATTCCCAGAAATGGTGTACTTCAAATTGCTTTGTTACAAGATAAATTGTAACTAAGATAACTCCTTTTATCCAAGATGTCACAGATAAAACTTCAGGTTTTGCTGCCTGTTTTACCAATATAGGTAATACCTACCAGGTCATATTTTTGAAAAAAATTTTTTTACAGACTTTTAATGATTGATTTTCAAAATATGAATAGTGATAATCTTTGCAGATGGGTGAACTTCCAGAGAACTTCCTAGGTTTTTTCATTGTGCGCTTTCCCTCTGTTATTTCAAAGTTAGAGTACAAAAAGTTTTAAAACAAATAAATGCCCACAGCTAACATTATATTCAATGGTGAAAGACTGAAAGCTTTCCCCCTAAAATCAGGAACAAAATGAGGATGTCTGCTTTCACTGCTTCTATTCAACATTGTACTGGAAATGCTAGCTAAGCAATTAGGCAAGAAAAACAGATAAAATTTGTCTATATATATCAGAAAGGAAAAAGTAAAACTATCTATATAATCAAATGATACAATATTATATAGAGAGAGAAAATCCTAAAGAATCCACACACAAACAAAAAAACACTACTAGAGTTAATAAATGAGTTCAACATAGTTGCAGGATACAAGATCAGCACATAAAAATCAGTTGTATTTCTACACACAAGCAATGACCAACCCAAAAATGATATTAAGAAAACAATCCACTTACAATACCATTGAAAAAAATAAAATACTTAAGAATAAATTTAATCAAGAAGGTTCAAGACTTGGAAACCAAAAGCTGCACAACATTGTTGAAATAAATCAATTAAGACCTAAATAAGTGTAAAGCTATCTCATGTTCATGGACTGGAAGGCTTAATATTATTGAGACTGCAGCACCACCTAAAGCAATCTACAGATTCAATGCAATCATTATCAAAATCCAATGGCCTTTTTTGCATAAATGGAAAAATCTGATCCTAAAATTAATATGGAATTGCAAGAGAACCAGAAAACTCAAAACAACCTAGAAAAAGAAAACTAAAGTTGGAGGACTCACACCTCCTGATTTCAAAACTTACTACAAAACTACAGTGTGGTATTTGCATAATGACAGACATAAAAAGAGTCCAGAAATAAACCAATATACTTATGGTCAATTGGTTTTTGACAAGGGTGCCAAAGCCATTCAATGGAAGAAAGAATAGTCTCTTCAACAAACGGTGCTGGGGCTACTGGATATTCACATGCAAAAGAATGAATCTGGACCCCTATCTCTACTATATGCAAAATTAACTCAAAATGTATCAAAGACGTAAATATGAGAGCTAAAACCACAAAAACTCTTAGAAGAAAAAATAGGGGGAAAGCTTCGTGATCTGAGATTTGGTGATGTATTCTTAGCTATGACACCAAAAGCACAATCAACTAAAGGAAAAAACATAAATTGGACAAAATTTAAAACTTTTGCATTTCAAAGGACACTATCAAGAAAATGAAAAGAAAACTCAAAGCATGGGAAAAAACATTTGCAAATCATATATCTGATAAAGGATTAATATCTAGAACATATAAAGAACTACTAAAACTCAACAACAACAAAAATTTTTTAATGGGTAAGTATTTCAAGAAACATTTTCCCAAAGGAAGTACATAAATGATCAACAAGCATGTGAAAAGATAATCAACATCACAAGTCATTAGTCATTAGGAAAATGCAAATCAAAACCACTAGGATGGCAATAATAATAACAAACAAAAAATAACAAGTGTTGGTGAGGATGTGGGGAAATTGGAATCCTTGTACATTGCTGATGAAATGTAAAATGGTACAGCCACTGTGGAAAACAATTTGGTGATTCCTCAGAAAGTTAAATATAGAATTATTGTATGACCTAGCAATTCCACTCCTAGTTACATACCCAAAGAACTGAAAACAGGTATTCAAAGAAAAATTTGTACACAAATGTTTATAGCAGCACTATTCATAATAGCAAAAAGACTAAAACAACCCAAACCTCCATCAACTGATGACAGATAAGCAAAATATGGTATATCCATACAATGGAATATTAACCAACCATAAAAAGGAATTAAGTACTAACACATGCTACGACATGGAAGAAACCTGAAAACATTATACTAAGTGAAAGAAGCAGACACAAAAGGACACATATCATATGATTCTGTTTACATGAAATATTCAAGAGACAGAAAGCAGAATAGTGGTTGCCAGGGGCTGGGAAGAAAGATAAAGGGGGAGGATTGCTTAATGGATCCTGCATTTCCTTTTGGGGTGATGAAATGTTTTGGAACTAAATAGAGGTGATGGGTACACAACATTGTGAATATACTAAATGCCACTGAATTGTACGGTTTTAAATGGGTGTGAATTTTATCCCAATGAAAAAAAAGTGAATGATAAATGGATAGAGAGATGATAGATGATAGATAGATAGATAGACAGACAGACAGACAGAGATGAATATTTCAAGTCTCTAGAACTAAGTGAAATACAAAATCAAGATAATAACATGGATAATTATACGAATCTACCATATATTGGCTAACTATGTGTCAGTTACAGTGCTTAGGAGTTTCCTTACAGTGGTCCTCCAAGACTGTAGTATTACCCTCATTGAATGTATTATGATCCTCATTGCCTAGATAAGAAAATTGGGTTGGTTAGTGACTTGACCACAACCACACATATAATAAATGAAATCTTACAGGAAAAGAAGTACTTAGTCTACAATATTAAGTGAAACCTTAATTCCATTTGTTTGAAATTTCAATAATCTGAGTAAATCAGAAAAAAAACCCTAAGATTTGTGCCTTAATCACGTGTTCCCATTTCTGGATTCCCTTTATTTGAAAAGAGAACTACTATTTGTACCATCGGATAGATGTACCACCTTGTGCCAGGCACTTTACTCTCACTCATGCACATAAACTTCATGACACTATCGTCAAAGCAACCCCCAGGAAGAAGACATGATTATCCCCATACTACAGAGGGAAAGACTGGGACTCAGAGCCATCAGTAACTTCCTCTGTGTTACAAGATGGCTGAATGGCTAAGGTAGGATTCCAAACCGAGTGTCTGGTTCCAAAAAATCTTATGTTCTTTTTTCTACTCCACACTCTCTTGTACTTTATAGCCTTTCCATATGGGAATATATGAAGGACAGTGGCCTGGATAACAAGGTCAGCTTGAGTATCCTTAGCAGTTCTGATATGTTTGAACAATCAGAACTGATATAGAAGGTGGCCTCAGGAAGACGTGGCACTGTGTTACCCTTAAAACCCAGATTACAGACTGGCAGCCGCTGAACCACATCTAACTCACAGACATGCTTTGTCTGGCCTGCACATTTAAAAAAATAATTTGAATTAGTAGCCAGCACTTAAAAAATTAGATAACGTCACACAAAAGTTTACATTCTCAGCTTTTTTTGTAAAAATAGAAACATCTGGCAACGTTAGGCCTGTATTCCCAAGCAGCACACAAGAGTGGAAGCAGGCACTGTCCATCACTTCACCATTCAAGTGACCTCCCAAGTGAAGTGAGGCAGACCAAGGTTTTCCATTTCTGTGCTGGTCCTATGTGTTTTTTAGTCAAACAATGTCAGAGTCATTATTTTCCAAAATATCAAATTAGTTGAAATTAGCAAGGTACTTTTTTTTTCTTTTAGCAAGGTATTTTCTAATAACTTTCCCTGCCCTTCTCTACATCCCAAGAGACAGGATGCATTTGTTCTCTATTTTAGAGACAGGAAAATTAAGTAATAAAGCATGGCCTGCCCCTCCACCCCAACAGTTGCATAACTTCTATGCCTCACCAACAAGGGCTGTGGCCTCTGCATTAGACCAAGGCTACATTCCAAAGGCATGAGGTGTCACCACCACTGGCAGAAGAAACATTAGTCATTAAATTAGAGATGTGAGCCCACAATACCCAGGAACTGCAGGCAGAGAATGCCACCCAGCCGGTTTGCCTGCTGCTTGGGACATACCGGTCCTTTGCAATACCCCTTTTATAGACTGTTAGGAAAGCTCACTATGGGGGCCAAAGTGATCAGAGCCCAGGTCCCTGAAGCCCCAGGAAGAAAGCAAGAATTTCCAGGTCTTCTGTGCTTGCTGTTTGGAATGACAAGAAGGAAATTCAAGTCATATAGTGAACTCCCAGTTCAAGAGCTCAGCTGTTTAAGCACGGATGTCAGGATCATAAGAGTCTGTTTCTCATGTGCTCCCCTCACAGCAACCCATGGAAGCTGACAGAGAAATTTTATGTCAGGAAAGGGCCCTTTTAGGGAGGGTGGGTGTATGGATCTATGGACTAGCTCCCTAGTTCCCACCTATCAGTCCCACTGATGTTCCTCCAATGCCATCCAGACAACCCATCCATCCCTGCTTGGGAAGTAATTTTCTCTGGCTCCCAGAGATAAGGGTTAGCAGTTGTGGGTTAACTGTGTCCTCCAACATGTTGAAGTACTAACCTCCAAAACCTCTGAATGTGACCTTATTTGGAAACAGAGTCTTTGCAGATATAATCAAGTTAAGATGAGGTCATACTGGGTCAGAGTTGGGTCTAAATCCTATGACTGATGTCCTCATAAGCAGGCCATGTGAAGACACAGAAACACAAAGACACGCAAGGAGATCATCATGTGATAATAGAGGCAGAGATGGAGGTTATGCTGCCACAAACCAAGGAATGCCAAGGATTGCCAGCAAATGGCCAGAAGTGCAGCATGGGGCAGATTCTTCCTCTGAGCCCCCCAAAAGGAACCAACCCTGCCAACATTCTGATTTCAGATTTCTAGTCTCCAGAATAGTAAAAGAATAAATTTCTGTTGTTTAAAGTCACCCAGTTTGTGGGAATTTGTTACTGCATCCTAATACAGCTGTTAAGACCAAAATAAGCAAAAGAGTATCACTTGCCATGAACCTCAAGCCTGGACATTGGTGGCTCATCCATCTTTCACATCCCAACTTGACTTTGCCTGCTCCTGGAAGCTTTGCCTGTCCTCTTCCTCTCTCCTTGGGGCAGCATGCTTTTTCAAGTTATAACACCTAATTAGCCCAACAATCCCAGGAGATATTATTTCTACTTTATAGTTGTAGAAGCCTAAAGGCACAGCATATCTTTGCTGGTGATTGATGTGATTAATATGGGAAAGCTGGAATTCAGATCCAGCTTGGCTGGACCTGGAGGCCCATGGATTTTTCACTCCATCTCTCTCGGGTCACCTCCATTAGTCATCATCAATTCTACTAATCAAATTTTTTACAGCTTTGCATCGAGAGAAGAGAAAATTTTGAACACTTCTCACTGCTAATCTCATTGGACCCCTCAGAGCCTGATGTTGAAAGCTAAAGATTTGACTGACAGCCACAGTGAAGCCTATGAACAGAATTAACTGATGTGACTACGCTGAAAGTCATAGAAACACTCCAGTCATTTTAGGCTAAAAGCAAGCAAATTAGGAAAGTTGGAATCCCAAACTAAGGACCAAAAACTGCCACAACCCATTAAATCCTCCTTTAAATATAAAAATCAGCCAGTACACTTTTATCTGCTGTCTTAATTTGCTTCCTAACAGAAAATTCCAAGAAAAAAAAAAAAGCCTGCAAAATACTTTTTTTCTTGCTATATCTTGTATGCTACTCCTGAACATGTTTTTGACTGGTTTAAACTTCATTAGTATCACGTTTAAAATATAATTTTTTAATTTTAATATTCACTTTTACATATTTGTGGGGCACAGTTTGTTGTTTCTATACATGTGTACACTGCACAATGATGCACTTAGGGTAGATAGTATAGTTTTGATAAATAGTTCTCTTTTTTAAAAGGCAACAAGCTAGTTTAGAGTCTGAATTTCCTATTGTCTTATATATCATTATCCAATCATTTATCTCAACACTATAAGCCTAGGCAAATGTTTGATCTACCACATCAGACCTCAGACCACAACCACTTAGTTGAGCCTTTTTGCCATTTTAGAATGAACTCTTATCTTTCTTACAGGCAAGACGTGGCTGAGTTTTAGTTTGGGCTCAGAACCAGGGCAGTCACGGAAGGAATCTCTGGGGGGATTAATGGAGCTGGGACATGCAGTAGAAGCAACTGTCCAAAGTAATGAGAAGCAAAGTCAGTAGGCGTGTCTTCCTCATTCCCACATGTCCCCGTGCCTCGGCTCCAACAACAACGATGGGAGGGAGTTTGGAAGTGACAGAGTACAGAGTGAGCTTTTGAAATATTCTCCCACACAGACACAGGGAAAACATGACTTATGAAATGAAGAGGACTGAAGGATTTTTTTTTCTTTTTTAAGTTGCATGATGTGGCTAGGTTATTGAGAAAACATTTTTATTGTAATGTGGTTCAGGAAAAAAATATATATTTTTTTTTATACGTTGGGAGGGAAATTGCCCCTCCATTTGCATATTACCCAATCAGTTATATATGAGTTATAAAAAGAAGTGTCCAATCTGAGCATTCGCCTCATTCAGTTCATATCTCCATGCATATGGTTCCAAGAGTATAGGTGGGTGCTTTCTCTAATCTGTCTACAGATAGTTTATGCACTAGTATTAACCACATATGGAACAGTAGCAAGAGAAAAAATATGGCAAAAAGCAAATCACAACATTATAATGTTAACTTATGACAGAGTTTTGGCCATAAACATTTATATACCACACATATCAACAAAACATGTAGCATGATAAATTCACTTAAGTTTTTAGACATTTTTATTTTAGGGGAATCCAAGAATGAGAGATTTACTATGGCTAAAACTTTTCATTTCCTGCAAGTGTGTGTGTTTGCTTTGGTATTAAATGTTCATTTTTCTTTAAGGTTCCAGACATTTTTTTAGGCTGGCCACCAGGTAAAAAAGAAAACTGGTCTAGACACATTAGTAGATGAAAAAAATGTCTAAATAATCACAGATTTATGCCCAAAGACTTTAACCTCATAGCTCTCCCTTAGAAAAGCTTTTGGAGAAATATGTAAACATTATTTCTCTGCCAAAAGGGGCAACATTAAGCCAACCTATTCTCAGCTGAGATATAATACAGAGCTTCTTCCTTTAGATCCTAAATATTAATTAATCACTAATTATAACCTGAACACTAAATAATTTCATTAATTCCACTTTTATCTTTACAATTCCTTTCTTCAGCTCTCTTTGAATTTTCCCTCTTGTTCTTACTTTCTTTATTTGAATATTTAGCTCTTTAACAAACTTGATCTGGTACATATATGTAGAATCCTAAACTCAACAAAGGATATATTTTCTTCTCAAATACATGCAACATTTTCAACCACTGACTATGTCTTAAAGGAAGTTTCAATGCATTTTAAAGAGAACACATTCTCTGACCACAAATCAATTAAGTTAGAAATGAATAAGAAGTAGAAAATGTTTTTTGAAACTTAAAAGTGCACTTCTAACTAACTCATATATTAAAGAAGAAAGCACATGGAAATGGCAACATTCAAACTTGCCCAACAGTGAAAACTCCTACATATCAAATCTTATGGAAGGTAACTACAGTGTTATGCGGAGTGAAATTTATAGCCTTAAATGTATTTATTTTTAAACACGAAAGACTGAAAATAAACGAGCACAGCATCCAACTCAAAAAACTAGAAAAAGAGAAGCAGAATATAACCTTATAACAAAGAAAGACAAGAAGATAAAGAAAAATTGACAAATCCATAACTGGAATATAAAGCTTTAACAGACTTCTATTAGAAAGTGAGCAATCAATCAGATGAAAAACACAATGAAAGAGTTCCTGGCTTCATCCTTCACCTTGAGAGGAGTCCTTTTACTTCCTTTTAGTTCCACAGGAGCCCAACAACCAAGTGGCACTGTTTCCTCTGGACCTGGAACCAGTAGGCCTGCAGCTCAGCTCTACACTGCTGCACACCTGCATTCTGCGTCGGGCCCGCAGGTTCTTTGCCCTGTTTTTTTTTGTTTGTTTTGCTTGATCGCAGTTAGATGATTTTTTATTTATGTTTTTAATTTCTTTTTTTATCTGTCATTGTTATGTGCTTGGAGCAGACAAGATACACTGAAGCATAAACTCACCATGTTATCTTAAACAGAGTTGTCTTTTTAAAAATTTCTTAAATTTATTTTTATTTTTAAACAGGTAATACATGCACACAGTAAAATATTCCAGTCAAGAGGTATAGTGTGCATAATAGTGTTTCATATACCTCTGTTTACTCTGTTTAAGTTCCCAGCTAATAATAAATAATCTAGCAAAACAACTTCTGTACTTAAGCTGGTTAAATTCACCAATGATCGGTTTTATCACAATATAGAGTATTTGTTATATTTTCCTATAAATTTTTTCCTTCAAAATAACCCTTGAATCTTGCCCCTCTTTACTAGCCTCTGCTCCAACAGGCTTCTTACTCCCCAACATACTTAAATATCACATCTTTCCTACCCCATTTTGACAATGACATTTCTCTCCCCCTCACCTACCAATGCTTTCCTATTACTCCTCACATTAAATACAAATCCCTGAAATAACCTCATCACCCTAAATCTCTCCTCTCTGGTGACTAAAAATCTCTTCTAAGAAGTCTTCCCTGTTTAAACCACATTCATCTTCCATCCCAGACTTTCTCTAAATCTATATGTGTATATTGGATTGTGATTTATCAGTCTCTATAAAATATTTTCACTGATTGGAATTCATGCTTCCAACCACATACCAAATTAGGGTTGACAGTGTAAAATGCAAAAAAGCTTGGGATCTGGGGTCAAACAAATCCAGATTTAAAGATTTAGAGATTTAGATCCTAGCTCCATTACTGTGTGAGCCTGAGTCATCCTGTCAGTAAATTAGGGATGATAATACCTAAATTCTGGGTTGTTGTGAGGGCAAAATGAAACAATGTGTATGTAAAAGTCCAATACAGTGGCCAACATACAGTTGTTTCTCAATAAATAATAGTTTTCACTCTTTCCTGTCATCCACATATTTCTCCAGCTTATTACTCATTAGGCTGTAAGCTGCTTTATCATCAGGAACTGCTCCTAGCTAAAAGCATGAGCTCAGATTTCCTATGTAGTGGATACTCGGGTGTGTGGTAAAGATGTGCACACCCCACTTCCTTCTCAGCTACTGTGACACCGCTCCCACCAGGGTGACTAGGCCACTCAAAGAAACCTCACCTCTCAGAGGCCCATGTTCTCACTATAGGCAGCACATTGGAGAGAGGTCTCTGGGTTCCAGAACAAAATGCCCCATCACATACAGAGAGAAGTTTCAGGCAGAAACACAGGTACATTAACTAGAGGCCCCAGCTCACCTGCCAGAACCAGATCCCTTGAAGCAGGATGAGGCTTGACCGCAGAAGCTCTAGCAGTACATTGTTCCATGTGAGGAACTCTAGAAAGGCCACCAGGCCTGTTAAAAAGATGACCAGGACCAGCAGCTGGTGCACAAAGATGTCCAGCATTTCCCGGCCATGCGTGTGGTTGTAAAAGATAAAAGCTGATAGAGAGGGGAAAAAAAAAAAAACAGTTTGTCTTTTTCTTTGAAACCAAGGGCCACCCCCTCCCTCACCCTCTCTTTGTCCAAGAATTGTATACACACACATTTGTCCAAAAGAGCAGGTGCCCCCTGATCTGCACAGTAAAGCAACTCTCTGGCATTTTTAGAGTCATCACTTCCTCTTTAGAATGACATATTTGACATCTGACCCTCTTTTCCCTTCCCCAACCTTTATTTTCTCCTCTAACACATCATGACATTTTGAACTAACTATATTTTAAAGAAAGCATCTTCTGTACAGGATGATGACTAAAAAGCACGACAAGAGTAAGGGAAAAATAATTTAGGTGAATACGGAGATGAAGAGCCAAAGCGTCACCTTAAGGAATTCAGTGTGTTGTAGGAAGCAAACCCATACATAAATCACAAGGGTGGACTTTGGTAGGTATGACAGGATGCTCTGGAAGCTCCAAAGATTAGTAACTAACTCCATTTTTTCTCCCATGGAGATTCCAGCTTCATCTTAATCCTTTACATTTAGATGAGGAAAAGAAGTTCATTCAAATATAGTAACACCCTGAGATAATGAGTCACGTTGTTGGTTGTTGGTACCCACCTTTGATCTAGCCCTTGTTCTCAAAAGGAGATGAGCAAAAGTTCTTAGCTCCTTGTGGGAGGCAAGGTGAGCAGTTAGGAAGTGATTGCCTCCTGATCACTTGAGGCTTTTTTAGTTCCATAATCAATCTATTTCTTACATGTGTAATAAAGAAAAACAAGTTATTAGATGCTTGTTTTCTTTTTTTTTCCTACAGTAACTGGGAGACCAATTAAACAAAAAATATTGTTTTTCATTAACCTCTCAAAATTTGAACCTCATATTTTTATATGAAAATTGTTTAGACCCTACTTATCATGTAATGGCAGGATCTTACGATATCAATATGAAAAAGGCTAGTTAGTTGATGGTAGAAGCTGTTCTGCTGTAAGCGGTTGTCTTGTTTCAGGATGTTCATGCTTCATTACTCTGAGTTCACTTTTCTCTTTTTAAAAGTGGGAATAATGATAATCTCCAGAACAACTCAGAGATAAGTAACCACTATAGATGCTTCTTGAAGATGGATGTGAAAGGTGGATAATGCACATTGAATGATTGTGCTTGCTCAGTTCAACTAAATGAGTCAGTAGGAAAGAAAGATCTTTGGCATCCTATCGGGGACACCCAAACATCTCACCACGGCCCAGATATATGGCCCTATCTATCAAGGCTGCCTCAAGACACCAAAGCCCTTCATTACAAAGGGCTATACAAGTGCCCACTAAAAGAGAAAAATACAGGAAAATATTTATTCATACTTACCCTCCACAAATAAGGCATTTGCCAACATTAGCTTGGGTAAGGAGACGGGAAGTGAACTGATGGTAAAAGATAAGATTTCGGCCACGCCCAGCAGCGCAAAGAAGAAATACATGGTAAAATGCTGCCAACGCAGGAGTTGGTTCCACTGGCCCAGTTTATAGTCATATAAGGTCAGGTGGGGCCCTCCAGGAATAAACTGTTCCCCAGCCATGCCTGTAGAGAAACATGACAGTTTTAGCAACCCTCTCCATAACCTTACCTAGAATATAGGGAGATGAAGGAGGATTAGCCCACTGCTTATTTCAATCTAGTGTCCTCTTGTGACATTGATTCCTCTTTCTGGGCTGTTCCCTAACAGCTGAGCACTGGCACTTTACGCTTATTTTAAAGGTTCAGATGCTGGTTCAAATAACCAACTTCAGTCAAAGATAACCAACTGAATCGCAGAGCTATTTCAGACTGTCAATGCTGATGATCATAGTTCTACTGCCTATACCAATCTAATGGGCTTATTTTAAAGGTTCAGATGCTGGTTCAAATAACCAACTTCAGTCAAAGATAACCAACTGAATCACAGAGCTATTTCAGACTGTCAATGCTGATGATCATAGTTCTACTGCCTATACCAATCTAAT